GCATCACCCTTTCCTCGGCGCTCAAGTATTTGGGCTCCTTTATTGTTCTCGATGCAGTTCAACAAAAAGAAATAGCTCTCCCCTAAGATCTCCTAGAAGCCCTCCCTGCCTCCTCTCTCCAGTGCTGCAAGGGATGCTAGCTAGGATCAGCTAGGGCAGGAGCGGGCAATTATTTTGGGCGGAGGGCCGCTTACTGAGTTTTGGCAAGCCATCAAGGGCCGCATGACAGGCAGTCAGGGGCAGATAAATATGAATTTTCTAAATTTGTTAGGGGCCCCACAGGCCAGATTGAATGGCCGGGCGGGCAGCATCTGGCCCATGGGCCGCATTTTGCCTGCCCCTGAGCTAGGGGATGCTCCCCTAGCTGGGGGGCAGGGGAGGATCATGGCCAATTTAAACAGCCCTGATTTTCTTCTTGCAGTTTTTCAGTTTTTGTTGTGTCTCCAATCCAACCTTTCTGTAGGGTCTGTTCCCAATTCCCAGGTTTTCAGTCCCACTGCTGGACAAGTTGATTTCTGAGTTGAGATGGTTCAGAGCTGGGCCCCGGCCACCGCTACGTCCCTGTGGCATTTCAGTGGCCTGTCACAGCTGACAGGCCCATCGGGAGAGCTAAGGAGTTTGTCCCAGGACTGTTTTGCCTAGGCAGAAAGGAAATGTTTGTCAGGGGCTCGCCAGTGAACAGACCGATGGGGAGATGCCATGGTGGATATGCTCTCATCCATTGCACCATTGGCGCACATCCCAATCACTTGTCTGGCACTGGCCAAAACCTGCTTGGGAGGAAAAGGATGCAAGCCCCGATTATAAACACAGGGCCTGGTTCTGGGACCAGTTTACTTACTGGAAATTTTCCCTTTAGTTTGAAGAGGCTTTGGATTGAGCCTAGAAGTGCTCTGCCCGCCGCTCATATGAGTTGTTGGGTGGAAGGGAAACAACCACCCCATGCAGCGTTCCCCCCATCAGCTTCCTGACCATCAGCTAGAGACCAGCATGTGCCCTGAAGCATGAGAACTGATTGACCCGCTCTCAGCACGCAGCTCTAGCCATTAGCACTAGTCACAGCCCTTAAGATTCGCACACGATGACTGTGTGACTGGGGCTGTATGGCACAGGACTCCCAAGACAAGTTTTTCATGATCTCGGTTGGGTCTCAGGAACCCCCAGTATCCAAGCGCTCGGGAACAGTCATGGCATAGTAACACCAGCTGTAAGACAACGCGGAAACACCTAGATTTCCAAGTGCCTTGTTTGCTACTATTATCCTGAGCTAAGCCCCCCCTCGGCCATTGGCATACGTGGTGCCTGTGGAGCAAATGACAGTGGTTGTTACAGGGGTGTTGGGTGCAGCCGCGTTGGTCTAAGGACGTGGGCAGACAAGGTTCTTTGGGTAAATCTGATATCTTTGATTAACCCAACTCAAATAGTTGGGAAACTTCTTCTTTGCAAGCTTTCGGGTATAACTACCCTTTGTTGGGCAGAGGAAGCGTGCCGTTCTTGCCCCGAGTACAACTTTCCTTTAGAGCTAGCAAGTGCGGCAGCACAAACCCCTTCTTCCACGACCATAGGCTGTGTTTTCCAAGCTGTTCTTGGGCTGGTTCGTGAAGGTGTCATCTGGCATCCCCCCCAGCTCAGCCCCAGTCCGATGCTGTGATTCCTAGAAAAACTGCCCGCTCGGTGCTCTGGTCCCGATGCCTGTTGTTTGCATCTGTCCTGTCTCTACCTTCTTCACTGGCACACCAGGTTAGTCCGTCAGCGCTGGAATTCATTTACTGTCTCAAAGATGTGCTCGACTGGCACTTTTGCCAGCGTGCTGTACATCGTACAATGACAAAACCCAGGCCTGGAAACCCTTAGTCAGCCAAGTAATACCACAAGGCATCACAGCTCCCTGAAGTCAGAAAGGTCTCCGAGCCAGCAAGAGTCCACAGACTCAAGTCCTGAACCAGTGCACAGCTGCCTGGGTAGCATTCAGTATGCCTCCATTTCTCCTTCCAGCTGCTGGGGGGATGCGTAAGGTCTGGCAGGGCTGTCGCTGGTTTGTGAGCAGCTTACTGGTGCATTGTCAGAGCTCTGGACTTTGCAATGGGGGCCTCGATAATCATCCAAGTATCAAGGCTCTGATGGCTTATGTTTAATTAATCTGCCAAATTATCCCCAGAGGCAAACATCGTTATCAGGCTACGCCATGCAACATCTCCACTGGTGCCTACTTACTCTTGAGTAGCCCTTTATCGAGGAGCCAGCTCTGCTTTGCTGAGGCGCAGCATATGACAGACTATCCTATAAAAGCTCGCTAACCAATTAGAAGATTAAAGCACGCTATCACGGAGCCACCAAGTGTGACCCTGAAATATGCTGCTGCTCCCTTGACCTCCTCTGCTGGAAATGATCAGAGCCAGCATCGGAGACCTTTATTTTGTTTTGCAAACCACATGACGGTGAGTCACTCCACGCGCTGGAGTTCAGGCATCCAGACGAATAACTCTCACCTACTCAACCCCACTGAACTCAGCACCACAACTGGAAAGAGCATTTGGCCGCTCTTCCTTTTGAGCACCGCTGTGTTTGCAAGGAGTGGACCGGCCCAGAGAATCATGGGACATTTCCCTGCGCTCATATCAATAATTTTTTCCACCTGTTGGCTGCAGTTGCACTTATTAAAACGTACAGTCACGGTGTGGCGCCTTTTTCCGTTCCTCGCGCCATGCACCTGCCAGGTGGCAATTAGGTGGAATCACAGAGACGGGTGATACCAGCTCCATCACACTTGGTGCATTTGCTGCTGCCAAGGCCCCGATGTGGGGAAACAGGTGGATTTGCTCAAATTGGTTCCAGGTGGATTTTTTTTTTTTTTTTTTTTTTACAAGCCCTGATTGCACTCATTTGGGTTCATGGCAGGTAGACATCAGGCTTTTCTTGCTCAACAGCTTCGTGTGCATGACCTGCCGTTGCCAACCCTCCGCACACCCCAAGAAATGTGAAGTATCCCAACCTTGCCATGTCTTTAACTCTTTAATTCCTTATTGCTAAGGTTAACGCAGTGCTTTCTTACCCCAGTTTGAAGTGGCCCAGATGCCACCGATGCAGGTAGTACTAAATAGCCTCATGGGTGGCAGCCCAACCTTGCCATGTCTTTAACTCTTTAATTCCTTATTGCTAAGGTTAACACAGAGCTTTCTTACCCCAGTTCAAAGTAGCCCAGATGCCACCAACATGGGTGGCACTAAATAGCCTCATGGGTGGCAGGCTTAGGCCAGGAGAAGGTCTGAGACTACACTCTAATCCCGGCAGACACTCAGTCGACTGAGGCCTGCACAGTAGGGGCATGCTCTGGCCACCATGGGCCACCTGTAGTTTCTGAGCACTGGGAACTCAGCTGCTATAGCATGTGTGCACTGTACAGGGAAGACATCCCCACCTTCATTTAAGTTGCCCCCCAGACGGGTGCAGCAAGCCCTGCACTGAGCCCCCGCCCATCATTTTGCCCCTTCCGCTCTGCAGAATCACACTCATTCTTTTCAGCAGTCGCCTTCCAGCGGCTTTGCTGCGTGCCAACAAGAAACCATCAACCTTGGCAGGGACTCCCCTACGCAGGGCTCAGCCCCCTGATTTGCCTGCATTGAGCAGCATCAGCACAGACAGCGAGGACATCTCGGTGCTTAAGCATTAGCTTATGGGGATGCAACACAGCGTGTCATCTGTGGCCTTGGTGGCTCAGGCCAGGCCACCCGGATGCCCAGCCTTGTTTTGCAGGCATCATTGCTGCTTGTGGAGACAGCTAGGGTGGTGAGACCTGCAGGACCGGTCCTCTTGCTGGCTCTGAACCTGGTCTCCCGAGTAGCCTTGGTTGCATCGCTTAAGCCCAGTGGACCAAACTCCTCCCGGGCTGTTAATGTATTGCTGTGATATCAGGGCAGACCATTGGGGCAGGATGGATCTGAGACAGCGCAGCACCAAGCAGCATAGGCGAGGGTATGCAGGTGCCTACAGACACAGTGAGGGCTTCATCGCAGCACAGGCAGCCGTGGCTTCACAGTTCAGGGGATGCTTTGTTGCCCGAACAAAGCTTAGAGCCACCCCCACCCCATCCTCCAAGGCATGTGGCAGCAGCCTGTGCCCGGCAGGAGCAGGGCCAACTCTACCCGCTCTGAGGAAGCCTCTTGGGGCATGGGGTGTCCCCCCACAGCCTTCACACCTATGCCCATGTAAAGGGGCAGCAGACCAACCACCCACCATGACCAACCGGGTCCTGAGGCCTGGCCAGCCTCAGCCGCTCAGTTCCCCTGTGAAGCCCTATGAGAGGAGCTGGCAGGTAGTCCCTACACAAGCCTAGGGCTGCTGCCGAAGGGTATGCATGCTCTTCTGCAACTGTTGCAGGAGGAAGAAGGGATGGGACCTGGTCAGCCCTAATGAGACCAAGTGAAACTCCTGTGCAGACTGGCAGCGGTGCTCTTAGGCAGGGCCAGCCTGTGTCTCTAGGCGACCTTGGCTGGCTGCAGTCTGGGGTGGGGGGGGAGCATTGTGCCCCGGCCCTGCCATCACAGAGAGGCTCTCGGCATCTCCTGGTGTACTCTGCACTAATGTTTTTAGCCCCATCACTTTCCAGCAGTCCCTGTACCCTGGCCAGCTCCTCACAGGCCCATGCAGCACAAATCCTCTTACATGTCCCTCCCTTGACACCAGGAATGGGGTTGGCCTGGACCCAGGCAATGATTTCAGATGCACGCAGCGTGGGACATTTGCCCCACCTGCTGCTGCCAGGCACCCTGACCCTGTGGGATGCAAGCCTGATGGCAGAGCCTGTGTGGCACTGGGCCCAGCTGCCTGCACCCCGTTGGGGAGAAGTATGCCCATCCCAGGGCAGTACTGCAAGGGTGGGCTTGGCCCCCTGGAGCACAGTGCCTTTGGTGGGTGCTGAGCTGATGTTCAGGCTACTTTTGGCTGCAGGCAGGTTTGCCCTCCTTCCCCACAATGCTTAAGGAGCACATTGTGTCTTGCAGGCTGTTAATGGAGAAGAGGTCGAATGACAGCCGGGACTGTGGTCATCACAGGTGGAATATTAGCGACCGTCATTTTGCTTTGTATCATCGCGGTTCTCTGCTACTGTAGGCTCCAGGTACTCCTCACCGGGGCTGTGCATCACCCGTGCAGCTGCTGGGCACACGGGCGTCTCAGCCTGGGATACGGTGGGGAGGGAGGGAGGGAGGCGTGGGAGAGTTTGCAAGCACTGAATGCTTATAGGCAGGGCATAGCCATCGCCTGGGAACACGGAGTCAAAGAGCGGCCAGCATGTGGGGCACCTCACGAACGCATGACGTGCCCCTCGGCCAGTCCTGCCCCAGGGCACGTGGCATCTAAGTGCAGGAGGCGCGTGCGGGGTTTGCAGTGTTCGAAAGCCATTTGGAGCCAGGGTCTCAGCCCGGCAGAGTCTGGCCCTTCGTGCAACAGGCTCAAACCTTTTATTTATCCTTGAAGGAGGAGGGATGCCAGTGCTGGAAAGGCTGCGCAGGTCTCTCTGGTCCAACCCCCCCCGGTGGCTGATTGCTCCCTGCGTATCCGTCAGGAGCATTTTATCCAATGCCTTTAACACAGGGCAAGAGATGGGACCTCAACCTGGATGAACCTGAGCTTTGGGTGCATCCCAAGCTCCATGTCCATCCTGGGCTGAACCCAATACGCCCCATGTTCAACCTCCCGCTTGCAGCTGGGGTTTGTCGTGCTTTAGGGGGACCGAGCTCCAGAGTAATGGGTTGCTCTCCTCGCCGGCTTTTCAGTATTACTGCTGCAAAAAAGACGAGTCCGAAGAGGATGAGGAGGAGCCAGACTTCGCCGTGCACTCCCACATCCCTCCACTCCACAGCAACCGCAATGTAGTGCTGACCAACGGGCCCTCCGTCTACGCCGCCTCCTCACCCTTCCACAAAAAGCACTCTCAGTGCCGGACCGTGTGCCCCAGCTGCTCCCAGTATGAGCCGCCCACCTTCTTCCTCCAGCAGCCCCCCGAAGAGGTCCGCAATGGGGGCGACCGCGTCAGCTACAAGAACATCAGCCAGGAAGATATTGAACTGCCGGTGAGCGTATCGAACCTGCAAGCGCTGAACCCAAACCGCCTCTCGGCCATGCGGGAGGCTTTCTCTCGCAGCCGGAGCATAAGCACGGATGTCTGAGCTGCTAGAGCCTGGACATAGTGAGCTGGCCAGCCCGTGTGAGGCTTTTTTCTACAACATCCGAGCCTTTAATAATGGTGAAACTCTTTTAAAAAAAAAAATCTGTGGAAGTGTTTTAAAATGATGAATGTATTTATACGTTATATATAGCTATACATATAGTAAACCACTATATAAAGTGCAAAAATAAAGGGTGGGGTGGGAGAGAGAGGGGGAGAGGGCCATAGCATATGCTGCTTGGAGAGGTTTTGTGGGGCTGCACATTTAATTAATTTTTTTTTTTATTAGATGAGATTTTGATATTGTGCATCCTTTTATACCCATCAAGAGGTCCCCTGATGACCATCAAGGTGGTGAATACCAGCAGGTACAGGTGCAGGGGCCGTCACAGCAAGACAATGCTGCACAAGCCAACAGGCATCTGTCATCCCTCTTGGAGGGTCAAACCTATCCTTGAGCTGGGGGGGCCCAGCCTACATACCACTGCAGACCTGGAAATGGCACCAAAGTGGAACTGAGCGGTGTACGGGCCTTCTGCCGGGCTCGAAGGGGAATGTCACCCTGAACGAGCAGTCAACAGAGATGGGCTTGGTCTACAAGTTAGTGAACCATAATGGTCATCTCTGACCTTTCTACAATGCAGGAGTTCTCGCTCTTACTCTTGCTCTTTTTCTCTCTACTGTCTATTTATTGGGCACAACCCCGTGTGCAGAAGGATGCCCCCCGCCCCCCAAGATACAGGATGCACAGCTAACGCGTGGTCTTGTCCTCTAGAAGAGGCTTCCAGAGGTGAAATGCATCTGTCCCTAGGGAAAGTAATTGGGTTTTTTTAACACCACCATCTGATTCCTATGTAACAGGAGAGAGACAATTTATCGCCAAGCAACTTTGGTTTTCCAAACCCCCCCCCCCCCAAATGATACTATACACACGCACTTCTGAACTGGGCAACTGAGGGCTAAGCAAAAAAAAAAAGGAGACTTTTTCCCCAGTTTTTTTCCACCTGGAAACACATCACAAGGCTTTTAGGCAGAGGCAATGGACCGGTCTCAATTCCAAGCCACTGGCAGAGCTCCGATAACAAGAATTTCTAATTCACAGCAAAAGCCAGGGTCATGCCCCACCTCAAAAAGGGGCTGCTATGCAGCCAGTAGTGCCCAAGGCCCATGCCCAGCTTATCTATTTCTCCACCCCCTGGTCCCTCTGCTGTCTTGAACAGCAACTGCTCTGGAAGCACCGTCTTCTGAAGTTTTCAAACTCCTGCTCACAGATGAAAGTGGAAATGCACCGCGGTTATCTTGCCTTTCATGATAACGGTCCGACACGCTGGGAAAGTGTTGGGATAGTGGCAAGGCAGAGAGCTAGATCCCCCCCCTTGAGAGGAAACACAATCTGTGACCTTGCCGTGGTATTTTAACAGGCAGACGAGCTAATCTCAGCCTGTGTGCACTGAAGACATGATCGGGCTTGTAAATTCTTGATGTTGCAACTCGAAAAGCACCATGCTTAGCGGTCGGAGGAACGCCATATGCTGATGGAGGAAGGCAAGCCTTTCCCTGGATAAAACACAATCAAAAGGAACCATTTTCTTCTCGTTTAAGAAACAAACCATTTCTAATTTCTTTAGAAGAGGGAACCAGCAATAGCATAAGCTCTTCCACAGGCGTGCGCACGTGTGGTCCTCTCTCAAGGCTGCTTGTGTTTTTCTGATGCATACGACTTGTCTTCTGAACGCTCTCCTTTCTAACGTCATTATACACAATTCAGGCTAAAAGCAGCGCTCCGTAATCACAGAACGACTCGCTCGTTTGCAGAGAAGACCGGACCGGCTGCAAATAGACTCTAACGGCCTCCGCGTCGCGCCTGCATCCCAGGCTCATTATTAAAGATGCACTCTCCGAGGAGAAAGCAGTCGTTTCAGACTCGTCCGCTTATAAATACTGTATATGGCCCAACTGGATATTTTACTTTTGCCCTCGAGGGTTTTTTTTTTAATTCCATGGGAGACCTTTTTAATGTGCAAGTTATTCTTTACAACTGAATATCTTAGACATTCTTGGGGTGGGGGGCCTGTCTTGGTTTGTAACAAGTCTAATATGCCTGGTTTCTTCCTTCTTGAGCTGTGTAACTGGGGAAGCATTGATGTCAATGTGTTTGCTGGGGAATGGTGTTCTGTCTTCTGAGTAATCTAGTGTAACAGCAGCCGCTTCTATAGCTCTCTTAATTTGTACACTCCCTGACTCCAGTTTGTTTCAAATGCATTTAGACTTTGGATCCTTTGCCTTTTCTGTGGACAGACTTCTCTTTCCATCTTCCCTCTTTTTTTCCCAGTAGACCTTCGACACCTTAGCAAGCCACGTCATCCGTTTCACTCACCTTCACGCGGTGAACTGCTGTACAGGACTTCTGAGCTCACTGAGAAAAAAATTTAAATAATAAAAAAAAATAAAATAAACTACTCTTTGACATGGTTTCAGAGGCTGAGCTCTTTTTTATTGATAGGTACGCAGTTGTGGGCCAGAGCATCCGGCCCACAAGCACAAAGACGGTCCCTACCTGCCGTGAAGGGTCCGCTACGTACGCGTCTGCAGGATCAGGGCTTCTATTGGCAGGGACTCCTATCCATACGTGGCATCAGCTGCCACACACACAGGGAGAAACATATGCTAAAAACTTGAGAATAAAACAAGATACCATCATAAATATGACAATTTTATTAAAATATACATACGAGTACAAATTAATGATTATAGGGATAAAGGTCACTGTTTGTAAACAAATATATTAAAAAGAGCACATCTTTTCTGTGATATAAAGTGCAGTTATGTTTCCTTATTATATACATTATGTCAGCATTATGATTTTTATGAGGGCTATGGCACTGAAGTTTGATTATAAGATAAAATTCTCTGAAAAAGTATACACCTACATATTACACAAAGGGCTTTGGCTTAAGGTCGTTGAAGGAATGAAGTTCAGCTTCCTGCCATTACAGAAAGGCAGTGAAGGCTAGAAGACAGGCGTAGGGGCTAAATCAGAAAGCAGGTACGAGGACCTCCTGCTAGGGAGAAGATCGTGGTGCTTCCATGTTGCGTGGTTTGCTCTTTACCATCATCCATCTAAAACTCCCATGTTGAATAGCACATGAAGGAGAGCCCTTTTAAGACACGGGAATGTTTTGGAGCTAGGATGAATCAAATATACAAGATGCTATGTACAGTTCTCAATCGTCAGAGGCTACCCATATACAGTAGTAACGGAGCTGTCGTTTCTGCTGGTGCCATTTCCCTCTGTTATGAGGAAGGAGAGAGAGGAACAAGGGTGGTATCTTTTCAGCGGTGGGAGGAAACAGCCGCAGCGCAAGTCCGTGGCACACTTGGCTCTCCAGAGCGATGGCTTTCTGGAAGTAGGTGAATGCAACCGGGGTGTTCCCCACCTCTTGCCTGTTACCGCTCTAGCCAAACGCCGGATGCTTGTGAGCAGACTACCCTCCGGTCCTTCCAAGTCTGAGACCCGAAGTCCTTCTTCTAACCTCGCCACTAGGAATGAGGGGCCCTGCAGGACCTGCAGCAAGCTTTGCTATAATACCAGTGGCTGCAGAGGTTCACTTTGATTGCCAAAGCACAGTTCGTTCCAGCTTGGTCCTGACAGCTGTCATCTAGAGAAGAGAAACACAGATTGGCAATCAAGAGGAGAAGTCAAAAGGCAACATCATGGGGAAAAAAAATTACCGTCTACACTTTTAGCTCATTTCGTCCCTGGCTTGTTAACTCCATTTCTCTTTGGAAGTTTTTTTAATGGACAAATGAAGGGTATTTCTGATTTCCATTGGTCCAACTCTTCTTCCCTCTCTGATTAGCATAAAAAGACCCTCTCTGGTTAGTTCAAATATAGCTACGCTCTCCCTACCCATCTCTGGAAAGCCATTCAGTCCTTCCTTTTCAAGCTGCAAGGTGCAAAATGACCCTTGCAGGCTTCTTTCAGCACCCTGCCCGTTTCAAATCCCCCTTTGGCTTGCCTTACATTTTAAATGAATGCAACCCAGGAAGGATTGAACCAGCATAGAAGTGCCCAGGTTTCACCGAATCCCAGGAAGCAGCCTTGCTTTCTGCTGCGTCTTAAATAGGAACAGCAAAGCTGGGCTGGGACAGGGTCATATGTTTCCGTGTGCCAGGCCCAAGGGGGCTGAGTTTTGTATCTGAAGCCTAATTCTCTCTTGGGATGTCACTGAATGAAAGGGGAAGATGAAAGTGCTGCCTCGCTGGGTATAAACACCTTGGGATCCAGTAGCAATGGGGAAAGGGCACAGAGAAAATGGGCAAGCCCTGTTATTTATCGTTTGTTTTCCAGTAGCACAGAGAAGCCCCATTCACAGACTGGGACCCCTCTGCGCAAGACGCTACTCCGACTCTGAACAGAAAAGCAGACGATCTCTCCTGAGACGCTCACGTGATAGCGAACAGCAGGATTATGGTAACCACTTGGAGCAAATGGCCAGCTGAATGGAAGGAGAAGGCAACTTCAGGGCACCCCACATATGTCCCAATATTGTATAAAGGCAGTTGTGATGCTCTCAGAGCACGTGGGCAGCAGCCAAATGAGTCAAAAAACTCCCTCCCTATAACAGTGCTGTTGTGAGGAGCCACAGTACAAAACTCAGGTGGTAAAAAGGTCTTGGTGACATGAAGGCAGCTGTCTGAATTGCTCTTCTTCTAGTAGCGTTCTGCCCTTCCACGATACCTCCCATCCACAAAGTGTTATCAAACCTCACTGCCCGCAGGGAGAAGAGAGCAATGGGCAACAGAAGCCACAAAGCAAGTCCACAGCAAAGCCCAAAGACCCACACTCTTGTGCTTTATGTACACACCCATCCTCATTTCCAACTCCTAGTACAGACTGAGAACTACATGTTCACTGGTGATCACAGCTTCTTCGAGCCAAGGGACCCCAGCTGGAAAATGAGATGGTCACGAATCCCACAGGATGTAGGAGTCTAAAATCATTCAGATAAGACCACAGATGACCCATACTCAGACGTTAGTGGGGATTTAAACACAGCAACATGCTACCAAAGTCAGCATTTGCAAGGTTATCTTTGGGCCAGAGAAAACTGCTGTTTTGACTACTTAGCAGCTATTGCACTTTCTTTCAGAGTGATACATGCCTAGCACCTTACAGAGACACAAGGTGCGTCTGCATATGCCGATTTAAGGTGCATTCGCTATCTTTAAGGCGCATTAAGGGCACAGGTCTACATGTGCACACCCTTAATGCACCTTAAAAATGGTGATTTCAGGCTATTCACACCTAAGTTTGCTACCTGCAAAAGTAGGTATCAAATTTATGCGCAGAGAGCTAAAGCACCTTAATGCACATGTAGACGCGCTAAGGCGCATTTACACTGTGTAAGTCAACTGACTTGGGACCCAAGTCAGTCCGCACACCGCACAAGTGCGCCTTAGCACGTGCACATGTAGACACGCACCTAAATCGCCGTAATGCACATTAGGTAAATGCACATTAAGTTTAGGTGCATGTAAAAGCACGTGTAGACAAGCCCACCGATGTACAGAAATGCGCCTCGTTCTGAGGTGGTTATCATGACTTTGCAACTGGATTTTGAACAGCTTATTACACCAGAATAAGTGTGTCCTCCAAGGTACAGGCAGGCTTATCTGGGTATAACTACTAGTTTATATTCACACTTAACTGATGTAGAAGAAACCTTTCCATATACATAGGCACAGCTTCAGTCAACCCCTGTCCCTCTTGGTTTGTACTAGAAGGGCAGCCCCAGACCCCACAATGAAAGAAGTATCTGGATGCCTTTCCTCACCTGGCGGCTCAGTAGGGCAGGGTTGCAGGTCACAGGTTTGTTTCCCAACCGGCTTCACAAGGGGGTCGCAGCCACGAACAATATCCTTCCCCTGGTAGCATTTCACATCACGCATTCTCACTCCGATGCCACAGGTCTTTGTGCACTGGGAAGCAGAGAGGAGGGTTGTTGGCAGGACGGCATAGCTTTGCTGGACACCAGACATTGTTTTTATGGCCCATCACAGCTTGACTCTCACCTTCCCCTCTGCTCACTCCTCTTCACTCCACAGGTGAGAACTGGCCGCTTCTTTTCCCAGTGGCCCAAAGATTAACAACCCAGTGAAATGAGAGCAGTTGACTTTGGACTCTGGATGCTTCTTCCCCAGACCTGACAAAGAGCTCTTGAAGCCCAAAAGCTCATCTCTCCAGACTACACAGGTTGGTCCAATAAAGAGGTATTGCCTCACTTCACACGTTACACTTCTCGTCGCTGGCAGAAGCATCTGACACCTATACGTGGCAAACCCCTAAGAGGAAGTCACTAGCCATGTTCAGGGGTTGCCACTGGTTCCCTTTCATCAAGAACCACCCTTCCCCTTCCTTGAACAACCCATTGCAAAGACAGTTGCTACAGTTTTGAACCGAGTCTCTGAATTAGGCAAAATCCCCACCTTCCTCCAGAGGTGGACACAACCACACGTACGAGAGATGAAGTCCCCTCTCTCCAAAGGGCCACACACAAAGTGGAAGGCAACATTTACATTGCACTTTCTATCAGCTGTCTCTGCATGGAGGGCAAATGTCCCTGGTGGGGCTTGTCCAGCCAAGCCCCCGCCCCCCAGAGCAGCACATTAGGAAAATCCAGCATCCTCTTAGACCTTATGACTCAATACAACTAGGTCAATCTTTGTGATGCCTTGGCTCTCCCTCTCTCTGCTGACACTGAGATGGGTTCTCATATTGGCCTGGTTAATTAAGGGCTACATCAATGACCGGTTTCGAAAGAAAATTAAACAAGCTGCCTGGGATGCTGAAGGGAAGAGCTATAATCCAGGCTCTTCTTTCCCTGTAACGCCAGGGACCTGCAGCTCTTTATTTGCCTTTGAAGCACCACGTGTGCTGGTCTTTCGAGGCAAGACAGGAATGCTCCTGCTCAGGGTCCATCTGTGCTCGTAGGGCCATAAGCACACGTGGACATTGCCTGCTTTCATGGCTGGGAATCTGCAAGCTGGCAAGACCTCGGCCTGCAGGACTCCATCAGTCCTACAGCCACCTCCCAAACAAACCCTCAGAACCAGAATTTGATCCAGGTTCAAGTTTTCGCGTATTTGGAGAGCTGACTTGCCAAGCCATAACCAAGCAGGGGTTGGGGATTTCACCTCTACCACGGCATAGCAATGGCCCTGGTAGTCAGCACACACTCATTCACCAGGACAGGCCAAACCCTCTCATCTGTGCTCCCCTGCCAACCCATATCAACCCTAATCTCCTGGCACCATCTCCGGAAGAAGCTGTCCGTTCCACCTCCATGACCTTGGCCTGTTTTTGCAGGGACTGCTACAAAAGTGCACGTGCATTTATGCTAACTATGACACAGAAAGGATGCGAGTGGCCCCCAGCTTTCCCCTACATATGCCCTGGGATCTCTTCCCTTATTTTTCCAAACCCTGGAAGCCATCAGTGCAGCAAATATTTGGGCAGGTTTCACTGCTCTAAGGACAATCTACTGCCCCCAATTCTCCCAGCCTGTACCTGCCAATCCCTTCTCCCTTCCCTTGTCTCATTACACACATTATTACGGCTGGCCCTGCAGACCTAGCCAGATTCCTACAACAACACAAAAAGCCAACCCGAAACACTTCCTTTCATTCCTGCTCTCCAAAAGCACAGCGAGTACTGATTACATCTTGGCAGGGCGCGTGCTCCACTTCGAGCTGCTAATACAGCGAAAGGCTGCCTTGGCCCAAATAACCAAATCCTAATCAGTTCTTGGCAATCAGGCCAGAAGCGTCTCTGGATGAGCCATTGCCGGCTGTGCCATGCGAGCTATGCTGGAACAGTTCATTTTGTGCTCCGTTTTCCTATGTCCATTTACAGCTATTGTGCATTCGTCCGCGTGCCAGACAGCGTGCGGAAAGAATTTTGCACTTTCGCCGTAGGGGGAAGGCTGGGAGAAGGGGCAGGTCCTTCTCCTGATTGCCCTGCGGACCAGAGGATCGCGCTCCCGGTGCATGCCTGAAAACAGGACCCCCAAGGCAGGGTGTTTCACCCACCCTTACCCCATCTCCCTGCGTCATTTAGCACCCAGGTGCGGTCCTAGATTGACAGCCCTTATGAGGAGACCTCCAAGAAGAGAATGGGGATAGCACAAACTGCGGAGGAGAAGGTTTCTGTCCCTCTGGGTCTTGAGGGGAGAGGATTGTTCTTATGTCCTTACCTCTACTGAGGTTTCCGAGGTGGGCGGCCATTGGCAATGGCAGCATCGAGCACGCCACTGCTGCTTCCCATCCAGGCACCTCTGGGCACTTTGTGAAGTTGGATGAACAGTGTTACCCCCGTTATGTCAATGAGGAAACCGAGGCAAGGACTGAAGGGGTCTGACACACAGAGCCTGCAACAGAGCTCCCGCCGGGTGCCCTGTTCACTGGGCCCGACTCTTTCCCGTCTCAGGCTATCGCCCATAAATTAGTCCCTACTAGATCTAAGTGGCACCCCTTGGAAATACCTCAGCAACCCTCTTACCTCAGACCAGGGAGTCGTGTACCACTTGAAACAAGGCCGCTCGAAGCAGGTGCTTTCTTCTACCGGTTTCTTGGTGACGTCGCAGTCGGAGGGGCTCCGTGTCTTTATCTTCCCATTGACGATCTCCAGACACAGCACTATCCTCTTCTTCACCCCACGGCCACAGGTGGTGTTACACTGCCCGGGACAGAAACCAGACAGGAGGAGAGATTAAAATGACATGTCCCAGAGATGTCATGTCATGTTGAGCAGAGAGAGCTGGAGTTGAGCTCACGCCCAACCCAGTCTCGACTCAGTAACGGCGTCCGAGCGAAGGGGGTTTCCCAGCACCACGCCACAACGTCCGCGAGTCTGTCCTGCTGCCGGCCACCCGGGAGAGCAGGGCATGGCAATGCCCCAGTGACCTCCCCGTTGCAGGAAGGTCTGCACAAGCCTGTGCTTGAGGCTCTTGAGACAGTTTGCATTACCCCTGCTTTGCAAGGAGGATAACCGAGCCCTTCACAGGTGGGATTAGACCCAGAAAGTAAGAGCCCCTTGTACCACCCTCTCGCCGAAGGGATGAGGAGGACTGAAAGTCGTAAGCCTCAGCGCAGGTCTCTCTTACCCGTTCCCAGTCCTGTGCCAGCCAGTGCGAAGGGCAGTTCTTATCCCCACAGGGGTGGATCGCCAGCGGCTTGGTCTCCAGGTTGCACTGCGACTCCGGCACCACGCGCCCATCGCTGGTTTTACAGTACACATGCCTGATCATCCTCCCCTGCCCGCAGCTGCCGCTGCACTGAAACAGATAGAGCAGGGTGACAAGAGTGAGGGGCAGGAAGGGACAGCGTGCCAGCCCTACACGGTGACAGGGAAGCCCGTCAGCGGATCGTCTCTGCCTCAGCTTCAGCCAGAAAGGAGTTCAAGGATGGGAAGTTCTTGCGTGCAAGTTCCTTCAAGCAAGGACTTCACGGGCACTTTTTTTTTTTTTTTTTATATTAGGCCCTGTAGGTTGATCTCAGGGACGGTGCAGAAGAGCTTACCCAAGGCAGCTAGAAACCGACCCAGAGCTGGGCCTGAAAAACACCTTCATTCCCTTAGCATCCTTTGAGGGGTCTCCATTTGGGCAACCAAAATGGCCAGCATAACATTAGATGCTCTGGGCCATGGTGGCTTGATGACTTGCCCTGCTTGCACAGGAAGGCTCTGGCAGACCTGGCTACCGGATCCAAAGTCCCAAGCCAGGACTTTCCTGATAAAGCCACCTCGTTTCTTACAAAACCCGTCAGCCCCCTTCACTGCCGGGAACTCAGCTGACAAGTAACTGGTGCCCGTGTGTTGTGGAGGACAAAAGAGACACCAGTTATTGTGGCTGTGGCCAACTTGGGTGAGAGCACAAACAAGCAGATGGCAGACGTGCATGGAGAGCCAAGGCACCACCAGGCCCACTCACCAAGTCCTAAAGGAGCTCATCTCCAAGCTGGGATGAATACAGTGCTAAATAAGGCACCCAGTTCTGTACCATGTTGTCTGCGCAGCTCTCTTAATCACCCCTAAACTCAAAATTTGGCTTCATAATCCTATGAGAGATCTCTCTGCTTTGTCTGAAGAGATGGATGAAGACAGAAGCTGCCTTTAGGGAAACCTAAAGGAGCCCCCCATATCCCAGCTGCTCCCCCTGACCCTGCGGTCCTCATCCCCTTACCCCCATCCCCCCAGCCCCCTGCAGTGCAATACGCTGGCTCTTAATTTTTAAGAAAGACTTGCCAAGTCTCACTGCTGGGTAGAGGGAGAAAATGAAGGTGCAAGAGGAAAATGAGAAGGCCAAGTGCTTTGTTTGCATTAGATAAAACATGCAGCAGCCTTGAAAAAAATCTAAGGTAGTTGGTTACAAATATACCCCCTTCATTTCAATAAAAAACTGCACAGGTATTGTCTCAACCTGTATTTTAAACAGTGAAAGTCCTCACGTTCTTTTGTTGCAGCGCTTTGAGGAGATGTGCTGTATTTCACACTGCAGCTGTTGTCATGGAAACCACTTATTTTTAGCCAATGCCACCAAATCAAAATCTCTATAAAAATAGCTCCAGAACAAGGCCTGGCTGACACACACACCACACCTTTTTTTTTTTTTTTTTTTTT